CTTTCACTTCCAATACCAAACAACAATCTTGCCAATTAAAATCATAGAGAATATCAAAAATAGTATATCTTCTGTGTTTTCTCTTGGCACCTAAACCAATCTATACAGCTTCCCCACTTCCATTTACCAAACCTCTATGTTTGCTATCATATGCTTCCCTAATATTCTTGTAGTATGAACTAAAGAATAATATTATTGATATTCACATATAAAGAACATTTACCTGAATAAATCAATGAGTAGACATGTTGCACGACAATATCTGCCTCGCCTTCATTGTATAATGAGCCTGTACCAGCTGGATCTAAGTGCTCTTCACAACCAACTGACAAACTGCCATATGGCATTCTAGTGTCAAGCAACAGCAAGGGGCACTGGGTTATCCATGTTGGCTGCATCAATACAAAGTAGAATAACAGTTGCTAAGTATCACACGGGACAAGGCTTTCAAAAGATGTAAAAGAACCTCGACCACAATGTTCGGCAAACTAAGTTTATTATACAACGAGATAAATGTATAGTTATTATTGACTCCATATAAAAGTACACAAGATAAATATCCAGGATTGAAATACGCAAAAATAAACACTAATTTTCTGAAGAAAGCAAATGGATGCAGCAAAGGCTAGATTCCTGCTCTTTTATGTGTGGAGGATTCCCATGTTACGAGGTCATCCGAATGGAAGAGGCTACTGTTTACAAATAATTAAATACATGCCATCTCAACTCAAGAGGTAGAATAGGGAAACGACGGAAGGAACAAAATAGCTGGGATTAAAGGAATACTAAACTGTTTAAGACCATCTCATAGTTCATTCTAATTACAATAGCACTCTGAGTTATGGGGGGAATTCTCCAACAACATCTTTGAAGCCATGGGTCTCAGTTTTGTTGATCAATTATGTAGAAGATACAGGCCCACCAATTGATGCAGATAAGCTAACCTGGTCTTCAAAATTATTTAAAAATAATAAGTTAAAAAAGTTACCCGTAGGAAATTCTCACAGACCGAATCTTTGTACTCATTTCTTGGAACTAAATTTATCGACAATGCAGTCAAAATAAACTCTGTAATGTACAAATCTCAAATTCATACGGGTTACTTGAAGGGAACTCAGAAGATCATTTACAGAAAAGCAGAATCATGTTCTTAGAAATATAACTAAATAACCTTCACCAACATGAATGTCAAGACTGGAATGCAAGAGCGCACTACAGTAATTTTGGAGTTGGTACCTTGACAAATAGAGAGTTAACTAGAAGATGAGAAGAGACTGTTGGTGAGGACTTCAACATTCCATCATACATTTCCTTTGAAGCCCAACTTGCTATAGCATTGTTCATCCGGTATTGTATTGTCAAAATTGTGGTTAGAGTCCCCTGATGCAAGGTTGAAGCCCACTCCAGCAATGATACTCCAAGACCACCTTCCAAGGCTTTTCTAGACAAAATCACAGGAGCCAGTTGGCATCGGTCACCTGCAAGAATACAGCGGCGTCCCTGCAATATTGGAATCCAGCAAGCTGGTTCAATTGCCTGACCTGCCTCATCTATAACAACTAGATCAAACTTCTCCAACTTCCGAATTAAAGGATCAGCCGCTCCAGTGTTGGTAGCAAGAACAACTTGGGCATTTGAGAGTACTTCCTTCACAGTTTCCTTCTCTTTCTTTTTTAATGACTTCCCAAGCTGCTTCAGAAGCTGGCGTATGCCAGCAGCCAATGAATCATCCTTTAAACAATGTCTCAAGTCTTTCCTTAGATCTGCCTTCTTCCTTTCAATATCTGTTCTAAAGTTTGCAAGTTTAGAGTTTACAATTTCAGCCAAAGACTTGGACGCAACACTTGAAGATAACCGTGCTGGATTTCCTACCCTAACGATGTTTATCCCAACGTTCGAGAGTTTTTCAACCATATTGTCTATAGCTGCATTAGTAGGTGCAGTTACAAGCACCCTTTCACCTTGCTGAACAGCTAGTGCAATAAGCTCCTTTAGCAGACCTGTTTTGCCAGTACCAGGTGGCCCTTGGATTATCAATATGGGCCGCTTTTTATTCAAACCACGTGAAATTGCACTTTTTTGTGAATCATCAAAATCTCCGTTTAGCACTATGCCATTCAGGTTGGTATCAGCTAAATCTATCAAGTTATTATCTTCCATCCACGTGATGTCTTCTTTATCACCAAATAATGTAGCCACTACAGCAATAGAAGGATTGTTCTTTTGCAAACCATTTCTCTGAAGCAACATCAAAGCTTCACAATTGCGCTGTAAATGAATTTATACTCAGTTCGGATATAACATTTTTCCTTTGACAAAATCTCATGGAAACAAAATTGAAGATAACAATGCAGGACAAGTATATTCGTTGATCGAGCAATAAACATTCACCAAGTACCTCATAAGTGACAGTATCAGCTAATCCTGGAATTCGATCAATACGCACGGACTTTCCAAAGAGCTTGGAAAAGGTCGGGTCACCGTGACGAGATTCTAGAGCTACAGTGATGCTGCATTCATCGTCCCCCAGATTGTTCACAAATCCTTGCATGCAAGAAGTTGCACCAGCACCCCTGCTATCGCAAACTCTCACACAAACCATATCTCCCGGCGAAAGGGTTGTAGGCGGTAATCTGTGGTTTCCTTCGACCCTGAATAATACCAAATGCATTCCCCCTAATCCTGAATGCCAATAAAAGTTGATCGATTAAGAACTTCTCTAGTATTTTGGAGAATAAATGATTGAAGTCGAGATGAGTTCAAAATCTGAAGAAAACAAAATACTAGAAACACCTTTATAAAATGAAATCATTAGATAGACCTGTAGACGTGCTAACTGGACTCAAATTGCATATGGTGTCACAGAGTTCTTGCTGTGCTTGGCCATGGCTGACTAAGAACTCAATAGGTTTGGAATTATCTGAACCCTCATCTGGTGTAGGAACAGCATTCAACTCCTCTTGTGTAAACTCCAATTCGGAATCTCTCTCAATGCGAAGTAATTCAGACATGCGATTTGCAAACTCGTCGATCCTGTTCTGTATACCCTTGGCCTTTTCCATGTCCATCCCTAAAACACCTTGCACAGCCTTTGGCTGGCTTATCTTACGTGCTATAGCTTTATGCTGAACTGCAAATGTACCATGTCAATTCCCACTCAAGCAACTTGTTTCTAATCGACCAAAACAAAGAAACATATATTTATTGGTCCATCAAGAACCACATGTAAGACATACAGATGCAAATTGTTCACATATTACTTGGGAGATGAATAAGGAACCTGAATTAGCGAGCTCCTTGAGGAGCTTCCATGATTGAGTTTCGCGCCAATCAAGAAACAGCGATTGGCGTTGGAGATCTTGAAGGACATCCCTGAGCTCCCTCTGGAAATGATCAAAGAGAGTCGGATAGTGAGTAGAAGCTTTCAAACAAACGGCTTCAAGTCCAAGAGGCATAGGCACCGCATTCAGATACGGTTGGGCTTGAATCACAAAAGTAAGCCCCGGTCCCATCAGCTGCCGGAGCTCAGATAAATCATCACCCTGAACCTCCGCAGAAGTGAAATCCGAAGCCATAACTCGCATGGCCTGCTCAATCCACCGGACCACACTCTTCCCCAGCTCTCTCCTCCCAAGAGGATCCCCGTTCTGATAGATACCTAGAACGCTAACCTTCCTATCATTGTTCTCCTTCTTCTTCCCTTCCTGTTTCTCCAGAGGAAGCTGCGTCGGTTGCGCCTTCGTCTCAGAGCCAACTGAACCACTGGTACTGACGCTAACTCGAGCACCAGAAAAGAGATTAGCAGTAGAAGAAGAAGAAGAACCCTCGAGAGTATTAGGTTTCCTCACAGTCTTCTTGCTTTTGACAAAACGAATCCTCCTCTGCGCACCACCGGGATGATTAGAGCCATTGATAGTCTGAACAAACTGGTGGAAAGCAACTGTTGCCGCTGTATGATTCTGGCGAAAGAGATGAATCGACATTGGCGCATTCATCGCAGAAGCACTCGAGAGCAAGAGAGAAAAACAGTCAAGAAGAAATGGAGAAACCGGTGCATTCCGCTGAAAAAGCTTCTACACAAGACAATGGCGGAAGGGAACAGGGGCTCTGCAAATTTGAGCCGCGAAGTGAATTAGAGGCGAGGAAGAGAAGAGCATTTCCACTATACATTCAACCAGAGAATTCCTGCGGGACATGGAAAGCAACAGAAGAGAGGTCGTTTTCATGGAAGAAAGAGCTTAGTTTGCCGATTTGGAGGAAGAAAAAATCTGAGGAAATCCGTAGCCCATCAATTCTATTGGTTGCTCTGTATTTCGTGGCCTTCATTTTTAGGTTTTGACTTTTAACTCTTTTCTCTCTTCACTCTTTTTTTTTTTTTTTTTTTTTAA